GATTCCTACTTACTTGATTTACAGAGCTGGAATCCATTCTTCGCCAAACAGCCTATTCTCTTACTTGCTTACTTCTGAAAATGAACACCCATTGAGAGTGTGAAATTATCTGTCATTTGCTATTTTATTTTAGCAACTTATGAAGGAAATCTAACCCTTTACTTAATTTACTTGATTTTATGAAGGAAATCTAACCCTTTACAATACTTAATTTACTTGATTTTATTGAAGGAAATCTAACCCTTACAATACTTAATTTACTTGATTTTATTGAAGGATAATTTACTATAAGGATCAATTTATTAAATCCTCAAAATCTTATTTTCCTTAATTGTCATTACAAATTTGTGCTAAATTGATAATTCATTAATTATCTTATCCTTATAATAAGTCTAATAATTTAGTTAACTAATTTTGGTAATTAATTAACCCTTTTATTCATATACTAAGTATACATAAGTTAGTTAATTAATCTTAGTAATTAATTAACTTCCTTAACCATATTCTAAGTTTTAGATAATTTAATTAATTAGTTTTAATAAATCATTCATAATACACTTTTAATAAACTGTACTTTACCTCACTTGACGGGCTCGTAATAGTGTTAAGGTCCATATTTACCGTTGTAAAATTAAGGGTCTAGCGTATCGTTTCTTTACGATTTTCGCTTACATGCTTATTTGAAAACCGTTAAGTTTTATTGAAAAACTATATATGACGTTTAACATAAACATAAACCTAATTCATGAATCTCATAATTTACGTATTTCGTGAAAATCATACGCTTTATATGACTATCTTAATTAAACTGTAAGCAAGGTTTGTACTTGCCTGGATTCCGAGCTAAGCGGTTCTGATAGTATCTCGCTTGTCGTGTCCTCCTGCGTATTCCTCAAAACTAATTTTGGGAAAAGCTGCAAGTACTATGAATGATCCTTGAGGAACATCGTAGCTTTAAACACTCGATTCTGATCTTCACATGTTTAGTCTGAACCACCTCGATCCGCGTGCAATCAGTACTAGACCATTCTTATTAGAATTGAATTTGGTTGAACGGACGTCACCATTTCGTTCAGCACGTCGAAACGAGTCGGGATATGGTCTCGGATCATCAAACGGATGTCGATAGCCTGAGAAATGACACTTCGCCGGAATATGGCGGCGGCGGCGGCTCCCGGAGAGTTTTATCGCGGTGGACTTGGGTCCTACCCCCCATAACTTGACCCTTCTGAGTCCATTGGTGCGGTCAATTTCACACCATTCGGCCTGTAACAGTACCTATCGGGACCGGCAACGTCGGTAAAATCCGACGACTCAAATCTCACAATTCCGGTCATCAATTCTTAAAATTGGATGAGGGGTTTTCTTACCCGTTTCCTTCTGAGTGTTGTGACACCAAATTCACTACGATCCAACGGTTAGATCGTCGGAACCACCTCTTCCCTCCACGGACGACGGTAGTGGCTCCGTTTTCCGGCCAAACTGCGACGGCGATGGTGGCTGCTGGTCGGGATCTACTGGACGTCGGCTTCTGAGTTGATTGGTGGGGGCGGTGACATCCACGACGGCCTAGAGAGAGAAAAACGACGGCGGCAGCGGCGGTGATTCTGGAGATATCACGACGGGAAGAAATGGGAATTTCGGAACTTCCGCCGGCGATTGCGGCTGATTCCGGCGGGGTTGGAGGTCGTGCCGCATGTCGTTGAACTCAGCTCGTCGAGATCTTTCTATTGACACCGGCGGTGTCAAAAATGGAGGTCGGAATCTTAACTTGAGTATTTGGCCATTGATGGTTTGTGTGAGAGAGAACGTGAGAGGAGAGAGAGAATGAGCGAGAATAAGAGAAAGAAAGTGCAAGAACCCTAAAAATTTCACTATATAAAGTATCTGATTAAGGCAAGATTACGTGCCTGATCTTATCCTCAATTATTTCCTCTAAACAGATTAAATTTATACAGATTAGAGGTAATTAGTTTAGCTCACGTAAGTTAATCTACTACTTACAGTCCAATATCAATTTCTGAATAATTCAATATTGTTTTATATTCTTACTCGCGTAATATTTCAAACTGTTTCAAGTCTTGAAATTAATTTTAGACTGAACAAATTCTAAATTTTAATTTTCTGTATTCTATCCCAAGAATGACGTTTCTGACAGTGTCAACTCCCGAGCTCATATTGTATCCATCTACTATAGGTATTTATCTTGTGACTTTAACCTAACTGTCTAGCAATTAAGGATTTTTTTCTTCTTTTAAAATGCCAGTGCGTTTTTTTTTATACGCCGCTAACATCGTGCTGTGCTTAGAGATTCTTGAAATTAAGATTCTCAAACTATACTTGTACTGAAAATTATTCCGCCAAAAATTACGGTGAGAATTTATCGATCGAATTTACTTGATCGAAACATGAACTTAACATGAAATTTGCTATAGAATTTAGGAATACATATATTAATTCCATAAATCCTCCATTCACAATATAACATAATATTTTCTAAGAAAATCCTTGGCTTAAAAATACATGAATTGTATTATTTAAGGTCTGGAATTTTCTCAGTCATTACAATCTTAAACTATTAGATTAACTTAATTACATTCATATTAAGATAAGAAATATATAATAATTTAAGATTAATTTCACAAATTGTCTCTGAGATTTATCTTCAATCACATTTTAGTTTTTGACTTTTAAAACGTCTAATAGTTCGTACTTGAGGTTTTACTATGCTTCAATTTCGGTCTTTTTCATTAGGTAGGTGTTAAATATTTGACAGAATATATGAAAATTAAGAATCAAAATTAGAAATATTTAAGGCTTAAGTCTCATTCGTTTCGCAGATTTGAGTTTTTAATTCGAGTTGAGATGTAATATTTTCTGAGAGCTTTTAACTGTAACAGAGAAAGTTAGATTTAACATATTCTGAGAACTTTTAACTGTAAAAACATAAAATTGAAAAATTAAATTGATGAAATGAACAAGACTTTAGTAACTAAAACAATACAAAAAATAAAAGTTAATTTTCACAAATGACTCCTAAATTTTCGTTGTTTCTAATTTTGATCTCTAATTTATACGTATTCTTTTAACTATTTAACACATAGTTAATGAAAAGACCGAATTTATACAGATTCTTTTAACTGAGGTCTGGTCGGCGTTCGTTCGGTCGTGGTCGGTCGCGAGAGAGAATAAAAAATGGGAAGTTCTTTGGGTGGGTCGGTTGGCGAGAGAGAAGAAAAAATGGGAGTGACGGTCGTGATCTGGTCGGTCGGCGAGAAAGAAGAAAAAGTGAGAGTGTTTTTTGCGGTCGGTTAGTCTTGTTCAGTTCCGAGAGAGGGAGAGAAGTTTTTTTGAAATGATCTTTGTATATACACATAAATAAAAATGGGGTCCATTTTTTGACACGTAAAATACATGTTTAAGTTTTTTTATTATAAAAAAATAATGTAGATCCCCAATTCCTGTTTTCTTCTCGTCTCTTTTGTCAAATTTTCTCTCCTGGTTACGGGTTCAGTTTGTTCTCAGTTCTCACGACATCAGAGAGAGAGAGAGAGAGATGGCGGGATTACTAGCATGGGCGGCGGACGTCGTCGGCGGTGGCGGGCAAGGCAACTTAGAAGGAGATTCGAATCCGATCCCGGTCGTGTTCACTCCGGATCAGCAGAATTACGTCCGCGAATTGGATCAGAAAGCAGCTTCTCTGAGCCGTTCGATCCAAGATCTACGGCTGAGACTGCCTCCACAGGACATCTCCCAACGCCTTCCTCACCTCCACGCTCACTCCCTCGCTTCCAACGCCGCCCTCGCTCTCCAATTGAACGCTCACTCCGCCACTCGCGAACAGGTTAGCTTCTTCCAAATGTTCCTTCTTCGAATTTCTAGGGATTTATTCAATTTAATTAATTTTTTTTCATGAAATGACCAGTATTAACCGTTTTATGCATCATATTAGTCCGTATTTCGGTGTTTCTGGTGCGTGATTTTGTGATTATTTCAAAGGTTAATCCTCTCAATCTAATAGGTCAATTATATGAATATATATACCAGGCCCAACTAAGAGAGGTGACTCTGCAAGAAGAAAATCCTGCTTATGAAAAGGCTATATCAAGTTGTGAGAGTAAGATACAGGAGAAGATACAGGAAGCTGATTTACTTAGGAGGAAATTAGAGGTGAGCACAAAAGTTCTTTTTTTTTTTTCTCTCCATATTACATGCAATTCGGAAATTTGAATGCCATTCTAGAAAAAAGATTAACCATGTGTCTTTGTACGTATTAATTTTAACTATATAAGCTGGCGTCTGTTAATTCATCGACATAAAGAAGTTTCTGAACTTTCCATACCCCAGCCCTGTTTTGCTGAAAGTTTAGAGGGTGATGTAGTGGAAAATTTGAGATCCATATGATGGGTTTCAAGTGGTTGATGGAGCCATTTTGAAGTTCTTTTGGTTTATTGAGTCTTGTCAGGAGATGGAGGAGGCTGAAAAGAATTTGAGAGTGGAGCTGGAAAATGCAGAAACTGCATCGGATTCCAGTCAATCTGGCAGCACGGAGGAATCAGCTGGTGAATCCACAAAAGCATTTGAAACTGGACAAGATACAGGCGACCCGAACTTCGCAAAACTAGATGAGTTAGAGAAGAAGAAGAAGGAATTGGTTTGCTTCTTTTCTTTCAATCTTGCAGTTCTTCTCTCTCTCTCTCTCTTTTCTTTTCTTTTCTTTTTTTTTTTTTTTTCCTTTTTTCTATATATCATTATTAACTCCTTGTTCCAGTATTTTCTTATCTTCAACTAACTATTTTCTTCCTCTTAGAGTTCAATGGAAGCAATAGTTCATAATTTAGAGAAAAAATGGTCCCAAGTTCAAGAAAACGCTCTCAAGCAGCCCTCCCCAGGTATTTTTATAAATCGTTGTACTTTATGCTACCACTGTTTAGACTGGAAATCTTCCAGAGTTGTGAAACACTTTCCATTTTGCAGCACAAAGGGAGAAGATATTGGATAAACAGCTTCACAGCCTCATTGAGCAACTAGCTGTAAAACAGGTTAGTTTGTGGAGACTTTCCAACACTATTTGAAGATCTATAGTTGGAATCAACTTTGATGTATCCATTGCTAAATCTAGGAGCGATTTTCTTCCTTCTTCATTTTATTTGCAGGCGCAAGCAGAAGGCCTGGTCAATGAAATTCATATAAAAGAGATGGAATTAGAGAGATTAAAAGGGTTGTGGAGGAGGCTTGAAAGCACCAATGCAGAGGCAAATACAGCTAGAAATCGGTTTGCACGAAGCACATTTGACAAGGGGTCTGCTGCTTCTGATTACATTGTTGAACCTCATCAGAAGGCTCCTTATTCCAGTGGTGGCCGAAGTGAGAGTCAGCAAAGGCTTGTGTTGCTTAGATCAGCCTTTGTACTCTACATATTAGTTTTGCACATCTTGGTCTTCGTCAAGATTTCATTTTGAAAAGCATATAGATAATACTCTAGAAATATGAGAACATACTGAAACCGATGCAATACCTTGTTTTTACAGTCTTGATTGTACCCAAACTAAAGAGGGGGGGATTTAAAGAGAAACAAGAAAAAAATATAAGGTTTTTGCTTGTATGGATAATTGTTGTGTATATTTGAATGAAATGAATATACATTGCCCTATACTTCAAGTTCATTCCTGTTAAAGGTTGAGCTTCATTGTCGTTGCCGAATTCTACATGTTGTCCGAATCAAAGTGGTTTAACATTGGAAAACACAGAAACGGCATATTTGAACTTTATTCTAAGTTTTGTTAACCGCGGCAATTTCTTAAAGGAATGATTTAAGATAGCAAATTAAACTAACTACAAAATAATTGCAGAGCAACTTGTCTCTTTTCCACTTTGATTTAGATTAGAATTAATGAAATGCAGAAATTTTTATTAGGCCTGCAAGAGTCTCCTCTCATCGATTCATCCCATGTAAGCGAGTGTGCGAAATAGAAGCAAATCACAGTTGTGTTACAGCTCAGAAAGGAAAAGACAAGGCATGTATGGACGGGTCCTTGTAAACTCCTTTCTCCTATATGTAAGCAAGACAATCAAATTCACAAGTATTTATTTGCAAAATAAAAAAAAATGAAAAAAAAAACCCAAGAAGCTTTTCTAGTGACAATGGAGACTTCAACACCCAAAGTTTTCAACACCCACTTCTGTTTGCACTTGGCGAACCAAATTTTAGAAAAGGAAGCAGGAAAAGGCTCTAAATTTGTTGCGTCTCCTTTGTCATTACATGTTATATTAAGCCTAATAACTGCAGGGTCAAAAGGGCATACCTTGGAACAACCTTTATTGTTTTTGAGATCAACTAGTGTCAATGATCTAAATCTTTTGTCTTCACAAATTATCAGTTTGACATCTCCAGATGATGCAACTCAAGAGAACCTCACTCGGGGTCCCCTTTTATCCTTTGTCAATGGTGCTTGGCTAGATCAGAGGTTCAGTCTGAAGCCATCTTTTGAAGAGATTATCAAATATTCTTCTAAAGCTGAGATTAAGAATGTTGACTTTCTTAAAAAGGTACCATCTCTTCCTAGAATATATATATATATATATATATATATATATATATATATATGT